TTTTTTTTAAGTGACAGAGTAATATGCATCTAGTTATTTGGCCAAAAGTGATTCTGTGACTTTTTCTGAAAAAAGTGACAGCATCTCAATTTTTCATATTCTCCTTCATCAAACATCATGCATGCATCAATGTACTTGATTCAAAGTTTTCTTTTTTCATGTTTATTACTAGAAAACAGGGCTTGAATATGTATTTTAATAATTTCAAAAATGCACAGGAATGCAATAACTTATTTGGCCAAAAGTGATGCTGTAACTTTTTCTGAAAAAAGTGACAGCATATCAAATTTTCACTTTCTCCTTCATCAAACACCATGCATACATCAATGTACTTGATTCGAAATTTTATTTTTCATATGATAAAGCATGACTATCTTTGAAAAAAATGATAGAATGCCACTTGTTCGGAGAAAAGTGACACAATGTCACTTTTTTGAGAAAAAGTGATAGAATGTCACACTCTCCATGAGCAAACACCTTACACACATCCATGTAATAGATTCAAAGTTTTTTTCTCATATGTAGTACCAGAAAACAGGGTATGAATTGATATGTTCAAACTTTCAGAAAAGCACACGTATATATCTGGTTAATTGCTCCAATGATAAAGTGTGATTGTTTTGGAGAAAGTTCACAAAATGTCACTTTTTCGTAAAAAAATGACACAATGTCACTTTTTTTTTAAAGAAAAGTGACAGAATGTCACCCTTTCCAATGTCACCCTCTCCATGTGCAAACACATTGCACGCATCCATGTAATTGATTCAAAGTTTTTATTTTTATATACATTCTCAGATAATAGTGCATGAATTGGTATGTTTAAACTTTCAAAAAAGCACACGTATGCATCCGATTAATTGTTCCAATGATAAAGGGTGACTGTTCTTGTAGAAAGGTAACGAATGTCACTTTTTTTAGAAAGGTGACAGAATGTCACTCTTCATGATCAAACATCTTGAAAGCATCCATGTAGTCGATTCAAAATTTTCTTTTTCATATGTATTACCAAAAAACAAGGTATTAATTGGTATATTCAAACTTTCAAAAAAGCAAATGTATGCATCCGATTAATTGCTCCAATGATAAATAGTTACTGTTTTGGAGAAAGGTCACAAAATGTCACTTTTTCTAAGAAAAGTGACAGAGTTCCACTTTTTCACCTTCTCCTACGAGCAAACACATTGCAAGCATCAATGCAATTGGTTCAAACTTTTCTTTCTCATGTGTATTACCAAAAAATATGGCTTGAATATATACATTCAAATTTCCAAAAACTCACATATGCATATCTAGCTAATTGCTCAAGAGAGATGCTGTGACTTTTTTTGAGAAAAGTGACAGAAAGCCACTTTCTCACCTTCTTCTTTGAGCAAACACATTGCAAGCATCAATGCAATTGGTTTAAAGTTTTCTTTCTAATGTGTATTACTAG